AGCTCAATTTCAACACAGAGAGTCCAACAATATCCACAACTGATGCCAAGAATCAATATGTAAATCCTGTGATCCTACCCATTTGTTTTGTCCATCATCAGACTAAACAAAGACATGCAAACTTGGACACAATATAATGGGATACCTGACGAACACCGAATCGGCCCGAAAATATAGGTTCAAAAAGCCATTTTGCATATTAGTACATAACCTACGCGTTGCATACAGTGAAGCACCTCTTCTAGCATTTCGAGCTACTACTGTTTTATGATGGAAAATGAAACCTCGGAGGACTATGATGTCCAACCAGCAAGAAATTCCAGCCAAATAATAACATGGACAAAGAAAACTCTACACAGTTCCAGTTCCAGTTCCAGTACACATCCGCCTGCCCTGAACTCCTAAAATGAACACATCACCTCCAATACTCAAACCCCTTTTGATGCCTACTACACAGCACCTCCAAATGTGGAGTGCAATGCCACAATCTCTGTAAATACACTATCCAGTACACAGATAAATGCAGGTTTAACATGCTTCAGAATCAATGTGAACAAAGGATTGGCTGATTAACGATCTACCCCTACAAGCTAAAACATGCCTTCAGGTTCAGACTAGCATCAGCCCCCACAAATGTAGTGATAAATCTGAAGGTTCTTTTTTTTCTGAGAAAAATGACAAATCTGTAGTAGCTACGGCAGGGAGAATCGGTATATCACTGCGGCAGTATCGCGGGAAAGCAGCGAGGAGCATACCTGACGGCTTGGGCGCCGGGACGGCGAGGTCCTCCTCGCCGTAGATGTGGCGGAGGCGGGCGGCGGTGATGGGCGGGGAGGGCATGGCGGCGAGCTTGACCAGCTCCTCCCTCCAGGCCCACATGGTGGAGGACATGGCGGAGTTGGCGGCGCGGAGGGAGGACTTGCGGGCCTCCAGCTCGTCGATCTCGCCCTGCTGCTCCGACGACCGGAACGCCAGCGCCACGAACGAGCCCAGCAGCAGCGCGCTCGTCACCTTCTCCGGGTTCGCCGATAGCTTCGCGCCGATCCCCCGCAGCGCCGCCGCCGCCATCGCTCGATCCCTCGCTCGCTGGCTCTCGTCTGCGCCGCCCAGTAGCAGACTCCGCCGCAGCACGAATGGCACGATTGGTTGGACCGGCCGCCGCGACCCTAAGCCCGGCCCTTTTTTCCTTGCTGGGCCGTAGACTGGTAGTCGGTGTGCGTTGCGTTAAATTCGTACCTAAAAAAACACTTTGTCTAAAAAATGCCCTAAAAAAACTGTCTCAAAAAAATATCTTTGCCTAAGAAAACATTTCCTTCTTTTTCTTTGGAAAAGAGCAACCGTATCTCTTATAAAAGTTCATCAGACAAGCATCCCAAACATAATTAAAAAAATACATCGAGATATTTATGGACCACAAAACGACCAATACTACCGGTAGGGCGAGCTGCCAATTGGCCGTTGTCGCAGCTCACCTATCGGGAGCCAGACCGACCTTGTCAATAATAGTCGGGAAGTCTTCATGCGCGTGCCCTTTAGGATCAGTGCCCTGGAGCCGCAATCAACATCGTTAAACCCTTGAATCGACCTAAAGTGTGTGATACCATAACTCGTTGTCACCCACGCATGACAAGGAACCCTAACCTCGCGCCCCAAAGAAATGAGAGGAATGTATGCCGAAGCTCTGTCGATTTCGGCCAGATGGACGAACTAAATGAGGATCGAAGCCGGGAAGACCAACTCAACGAAGGAGTGTGGCCGTCCACCCGAACGTCGCCCTGCGAGGACTAAAAACCCTAACCTAAACTACTAGCCAAAGCAGAGGCACCAGGGTTCTTCACCCCACCATCGGCCACTGGAACGATGGGCAGAAGGAGGCACATCCACGGGCTCGCCGGTGGTGCTTGGAGGGGAATTATAAACTCTAGCCATCGGTAGGGAAAAGGGTTGGTAATTGATCAGAAACACACAAAAAAAAACATATCAAACATTGAAGCGGTAGACAGAAGGGAGACGAATCCACGGATTCGCTGGTGGTGCTTGGAGGGGAGTTGTAAACACTAGACATAGATGGAGAAAAGGGCCAGTGATGGACCAGAGACATGAAAAAGAAAACATATCTCTTTTAATTATTTTTTGGGGGTAAAGAACACGTCCATGTCAAAAAATATCATTTATTAAGAAAAATGTCTATGTCTTACATTGGCATGTAAATTGTCATGGAAAATTATATTTTAGTATGTCACATGTGTTAAAAGCTAAATTTGGTCCTACTGACTTTGGCGCCCTCAGCACAAGCACACAAGGACTGGACTGAAAAAGTTTGCACCATCTCGTTCTGCGACACATACCAGGGACCAGAACATAACAAAATTAGAATGCCTACTGAGCAGCAACAGGGGCCAAGGACCAAAATTTAATATTGAAGAATTGGCAGGGGCCGCGCGAACGTGTATCCCCTCTACCACACCAAATCAGAATGCCTGCTGAACGTGTACCGCATGAAACTCACATCTCCATAATGCACTAACAGCTTC